AGTATGTGGCCACTGTTGTATATTTCGTTTAATACGTCTTGTAATCTTGTCGATGCCGAAATCGTCTAAGGCTGAGAGCATTTCTGTTACGATCCTATCGCAGTGAAATACTTGAACAAAAACAGAGAAAACAGATCAATATTATTACTATTATCAATATACATATTTTTTTAAGCGTTTCAGCCCAAGCAAAGCGGAAAGCCACTAGCACGCAGGGGGTTACAGAGAGTTGGAGCGAGATCAAAGAGGAGTGATAGAGGAAAGGATGAAGAGAAGGATAGTGGATAGATCAAGGCAACTGGAGACGTCGATTGACATTACATTTGAATAGTTGAAGATTATAGCTATCAGGGAAACAGGAAAAGGGGAGGGAGTTCCACAGGCGGAAAGTGCGAGACATGAAGTTATTGGAGTAGAAGAGACGGCTACATTTAACAGTTTCGACGGTGAAAGGGCGAGAGCGGGATGCCAGCCTAGTTGAACGCTTAAATTCATGAAGTCTGGTAACCAGCGAAAGTAGCTCATCAGAGCAGTTACCGTGAAAGTATTTGTAAAAAAGACAGAGGGAGGCGACGGCACATCTGTGAGAGAGCGAGTGCAGAAGAGATGTCATATCAGGGCCAATTACATTGCATATCCATCTCTGGATTTGATCAAGAACCTTGAGACAAGCAGAAGGAGCATCAGACCATATATGGCAGCAATACTCCATGCAAGGGCGAATGGTTCGCTGTCTATAATGTAATTCAGAAAAGCGTTATAGACCAGCATTTGTGATAGATTGTAGAATACTAAAATCTATACTTGAGTTCTCTTGCTGCTTGTTTCATCTGGAAACACATCAGAAATGTTGGAAAATATACTGTTCAAACCAACCCGCTATTCGTAACGCGTGTAACACAGGCGAAGATCTATTTTATGGTACGTTATTCATTGCTGTATTACTAGTCGCAATAGCGATCGAACGATTTGTCCTTTGAGCAACCTTGAGCATTTACTGACATTTAATGCAAAAATATTATTAAAAATTTGAAATAGAATCATTAATAAATCAATGGATAGTATACGTTTACTGGAGACAATAAAGTTACGTTCCTTGTTGGAGCGTCAGAATACTAAAAGTGTTACCAACAACAAATGTAGGGAGGTAGATGCAAATCACTATTATATTTGTATTGTGTTGCCGTAAGCATTACACATACAGTAAATATGTAGGTATGAACAAACTAATTCAGAGGTTAGTGAGTCAGTGGGCTTTGAGTGAATATAGGAATTTACGGTCAAGAATGTTTATTCCTTTTTGTATTTGGATTGTGTGTGATCTTGTATTTATAAATTATTTGTAAGTGAAAAGGCCGCTCCGTTTAGTAATAATAATAATAATAATAATTTTTAGTGATAATAAAATGAAAATGAAAAAAAAAAGACAATAACAAACTTTTGAATTCTGGCCGTGGGAGAAGGATATTTTATTTGACACCATTCACATAAAAGATTAGTCACGTTTTTCTTCCGGTTCGTTCACACACACACACACACACACACACACACACACACACACACACACACACACACACACACACACACACACACACCTATCGATGTTTCTATCTAGCTATCCCATTCTAATCCCATCTATCTATCTATCTATCTATCTATCTATCTATCTATCTATCTATCTAGCTATCCCATTCTAATTCTATCTATCTCATTCTCATTCTAATTCTATCTATCTCATTCTCATTCTATCTATCTCATTCTATCTATCTCATTCTCATTCTATCTCATTCTCATTCTAATTCTATCTCATTCTCATTCTAATTCTATCCCATTCTCATTCTAATTCTATCTATCTCATTCTCATTCTCATTCTATCTATCTCATTCTAATTCTATGTACCTCATTCTAATTCTATGTATCTCATTCTAATTATATATCTATCTCATTCTAATTCTATCTATCTCGTTCTAATTCTCATTCTAATTCTATCTATCTCATTCTCATTCTAATTCTATCTATCTCATTCTCATTCTATCTATTCTATCTATCTCATTCTAATTCTATCTATCTCGTTCTAATTCTAATTCTATCTCGTTCTAATTCTAATTCTATCTCATTCTAATTCTATCTCATTCTCATTCTAATTCTATCTCATTCTCATTCTAATTCTATCTATCTCATTCTAATTCTATCTATCTCGTTCTAATTCTAATTCTATCTCGTTCTAATTCTAATTCTATCTCATTCTAATTCTATCTCATTCTCATTCTAATTCTATCTCATTCTCATTCTAATTCTATCTATCTCATTCTAATTCTATCTATCTCATTCTCATTCTATTCTATCTATCTATCTATCTATCTATCTATCTATCTATCTATCTATCTATCTATCTATCTATTATGACATGACCCTCTTTATTGATATTAAATATAAATCCCCATCCTAAAATTATTAAATTTTTCTTTCATTTCTTTCATTATTTCTTTGTATTTCTTAAAAATACGGCCATGACCGCCTTTGAATTGGTTCAACGGTTGAATTGTTAACTTCACATGTAGCGTTCAACGATTGTTAATTTCATATGATGCATTCAGTGATTGGGCGCGTCCCTACACTAATTGGCAAGAAAGATCATAGCCACTGCACCGAGAAGACGTGTAAACGTTTATTTCTTTCTCGGTGGGCTGGCTCACACATAAATTTGTCTTCCGATCTTCCAGAGACGGAAAGCCAAAATCTTCCGGGATAATTAGGAACTCAAGGGTCAGGATAGCCTATATCTTCCGTGAATAAAAGCAAAGTGCTTTCAGGATAATAACCAAACCAATAAACTACTTTGAATGACCGAAATACTACTTCGTATAAAGGGAAACGTCTCAATCCAGACAAGATCTACTCCGAATTATTCATAAAAGAAAAACAAAAAGAAAAGAAAAGAAATAATGATCAACGAAATTGCCGATAATATGATTCAATAGATAAGTAACCATTTGAACATTTCTCTCTTGACAAATTTTTATATTTTCTTTCCTTTCTCATATTCTTTGTTTATCGCTTCCTTCTTCTTTCACTCTCTATCTTTATTACATTAAATTAAACATAACCTTACATATTGTGTTTGTTTTCTATACGTAGTCTGTGTGTATTGGTCCCTAACTGAGTAGAAAATCTCATTGTTTTTCTTTTAAGCGAATCGCGTTCGTAGCCATATTTTTGATTTTTGTGGAAAGATAAAATTAAAATTCATAACATAACTGGGAGTCAAATCAACCATATAATCCTAGCCATTTTCACGATTTTTATAAAATCAATAACAAAAATTCGAATTCTCAAAATAAGTATTTTAAATCTTCAAAATCTTGACAAAGTGGGCGATGGAGTCGAAAACTCTCCATGTGTCAATATTACAACAAAGCAGGGCACGCAATAGTAAATTTTGGGGCAAAAAAAAAGAATGACGATTCCAGAGAGCTAAGCCAGGTTAGACATCAGGGGCTAGTATCTTTTAACCACAGTATGTCGAATAGATGTTAGGGATGAATATAAACCCTAAGTCCCGCTATTTAGCCATAGCTGAGTGGAGAAGAGGATTCATACCTTTCTCAATGAATTTGAACTTGGCTCTGCCGATTCCCCAATCCGAGTCGTTATCCATTACGCTATCGTGCCTACTTTCGTAAATAGATTAATATGATAAAATAATATGATAACTGTGAATAAATTGTAATCAAACCATGATATCTAATGATGTTGTTAGATTATGGTAACCATTTGGTTTTTTGAAACCAATGTTGTCCTAATTTTAATAAAACTTAACAGTATTTATCATAAAAAAAATTAAATAAACATTAATGATTATCGAATACATCGACGTGCTGTTCTTTTAGCAGCAGACAACAAACTCAAATGGAAAACACTGAGGAGGATACGAAGCAACATTTCCAAGGATCGCTTAAACTTTAAGTGAACATCTGTATTTGTACTTGATACTAATTAGATAGTGTACAGCTGTTAAGTTGGTTGGCCGGAAAAAATCCTTCGCGGGCTGGGGGGGTTACCGACCTCTGCATTAAACCACAAAGCACACCCTGAAATATTGAAGTCGGAACGAATATCAAATTTATGGTAAAACTTGTTTGGAAGACTGAAGAAATTATTAGTGCTTTGGGAAAAGTTTATGCAGATAACTCCCCGAAGAAAACCAGGAATTCAAAAATGGTTAACTCGTTTCCAAGAAGGACGAGACGAGGTTGAATATGACGAATGGATTGGCTGACCATGAAGATCAGCGAAGAAAAAATCGATGTTCTTCGTGGTTTAATTAAGGACGGCCAGCGATTAACAACAACAGTAAGAGCTACCACTCAAGACGTCTTAATTGGTTAGACTCACACAATTTCATCTGAATAATTAAAGCTTAATACTCTTTATGCTTGTTGGGTATTAAAACTGTTGTGACCCGATCAGCAACATACAAGTGCAGAGTTTTAAATGAAAATCTAAAACAAAATGAATCTAAATCGTAAAGGCTTTCTCAGGTGAATTATAACTGGAGATGAGACTTAGCTTTACCGGCAAAACCCTGAAGACAAACCTCAGTCAAATCAATTATTACCGAAAGGTAGAAACAGTCAACTCAAAGCAAAAGCAAGACAGTCAAGAGTAAAGATTATGGCGACAGTTTTCTATGATGCTAAGAATATTTCACTCATTGACTTTTTAGAGTATTTTATGAATGATCGATTTGTTTTTTATGGTCTGTCAACCTTTTGAAGGTTATTTAAAGCCAGAAAATATTTTTGGATTATAAAACTTTTTTTGAGATATTAATGATTTTTATTGATACAGGTTTTACTATTTAGCCCGTAGCTGGGTGCAGAAGAAGGGAAGTCATACTTTTCCCAATGGTATTTACGTGTAAGTGAATATAACGAACCAGACTGGAATCCGTTTACAAATTCCGTGTTGTTATTTATTACACCACCCGCACATCCAAGCTTACAGCACCTGGTATTTCCAAGCGGTCACCCATCTAGCTTCTGACCAGGTTTGGCGTTACTTAACTTTGGTGGGCGTACGGGAACCTGTAGTTTCAACGTGATATGGCCGTAAGCCTTTTTAGGAGGGGAAAACTATTAACATCTGTTTATTACCAAATATTTTGAGAAAATTAGCTAAAACATCAGCAAAAGCACCGTGGAAAGCTCTATCAGAAAATTATTTTCCACCATGACAATGTAGCCATTCGTCTCAACAAACAAAGAATTTCGATAGGAAACCTTTAGATACCCACCTTAGTCTTGATTTAGCACCTAGTTTTTCTTATTCACCTTTTTAAAAAAAAAAAAAAAAAAAAAACATTTAAAGATACACATTTTGAGACCATTATTGATGTAAAATGGTTGCTTTGACATGGTTAAATTTCTTAGGACGTTCAGTTCTTCCGGGATTGTAAAAATCGCTAGTATCATCGCTCAGTAATTTGATAAGAACAGGCGATAAACTGAAATCGCCCGGTCGTATATTAATCATAAGGGATTCATCAATCATGGCATTTTCAATGTAACTTCGTCCGAACAAATCATATTGAAATCTAATTTCTGTAACGACACAGTTAATGTAAAAATCAAGGTTTCAACCGCTTAATATGAACGACGTTTTAAGTAGAGAATGTTAATGTTCATTTTTCGAAAAAAATTTCTAATGAGCCGGGTCACCAGCTACAATGTCAAAATACACACATTATATATATATATATATATATATATATATATATATATATATATATATATATATATATATATATATATATATGGGATTGAGGAATCGGAGAGCCGATTTCGAATTCCAGTCGAATCAATTACATACATTACTTACGTGCTAATACCCTTGGGAAAGGTATGAATCATCTTCTTCCTCCAGATATGGGTAAATAGCAGAATAGACTGGGTTTTATAACCTTGGATGACAACTCTGAATTCAAAACCTGAGGAGGGTCGTTTGGTGACCTTGTGGCACGTAGTGCACCAGGTCTCTGTATTCGGCCCTTCAAAAAGTGCGGCTGTACACTATAATCAAATCATATGTTCTGGTGTCTGGTTGTCGGTTCCTTGAAACTGGGCTGCTTGACTCTCATATGTCGAATACGGCGGTAGAGTCCATCACCACTATATAAGAAAAAGGCCATACATTATTAGTCCTGACAAGTTGACCGAAGAAGTTTCGTCCACGAAACTCTGAATTCGGGATGCTAAGTATAATATCAATTAGCTGACACATTTTAAATTTGTATTAATTCTTATATATATATTTGGGCAGGAATACCTCTTTTATACAAGTTTCATTAGAAACGACTGACAAGGTATTGCGATTACTTTCCTTGTTCACTGCCGGATCATGTAATTTAAAAATTGTGTATTTGGGCAGCAATGCTTGTTTTATACATTTTTCTAAAATTAAAAACGATTGACAAGCTACTGCGTTTAATTTACTTGTTGCCTACCGGGTCATGTAATTTAGAAATTGTGTATACAAAAAGGGATTGCTGCCTGAATACACAATCATTAAATTACATGACCTATCAACCATCAAGGAAAGTAAACGCAGTTCCTTGTCAGTCGTTTTTAATTAAACTTATATATATCCGAGGCAATGAGAACGAAAATAATATATAAATTCTAACGTTCACAGCATTAATCCAAAAGAGGGCTCGATACTGATAGTAGAGCAATAATTATTTATTATATTTTCATATAGACAAAAACATTTACTCACTACAAAGATGCAACTCCGTTTCAGTGCATTTCAATTGCACCTCGACTGGTGAGAACCAAAATTGATTATGAACAATTCTGCTTGTAAGCAGGCTAGAATTGTTTATAACCAATTTTGGTTCTCACCAGTCAAGGTGCAATTGAAATGCACTGAAACGGAGTTGCATCTTTGTAGTGAGTAAATTTTTTTGTCTATATTAAAAATTATATATATATATATATATATATATATATATATATATATATATATATATATATATAGGGTGTATCAAAATACTTTTACAAAATTTGGTGGCGGGTTCTTCACGCCAAAACAAGGACAAAAGTTCATATAAATACATGTCCACAAATCCTTTGTTTTTTTTTAGTTTAATGAAAGTTTACGGTAGATGGAGGTGTGTTGCCATACAGCTTAGGCCACATTTGTCATTCGTGTACATATATGGCTAGTCTGTCTTCAACGTTTAATGTGTGTAGTAGTGATTTAATTGAGAAGTGTTACGTTTAACAATGGCAGGATATTCATATCGTGAGCAGACAGATATGATTTTACACACGGCCATGCGAATGGTAATGGAAGCGAGGCTGCATGACCATATCAAATTGCGTATCCAGACCGAAGGCAGCCGAATCATCCAACCTTTGCTGTTGTTTATCGTCGTGTTGCTGAGACAGGATCCGTGGCTATGGATCTAGCAAGAACGAGATCCGCTTGTACGCCTGACTCCGAAGTACACATTCTACAGGCTGTTGGAAACGATCCAGGTATCAGCACACGTGGACTTTTACCCTTGTTTTCGCTCCCAAAGTTTGTAAAAGTATTTTTGATACACGCGGTATCTATATATATATATATATATATATATATATATATATATATATATTTTGCACCCTCGCTCTTACAACATTTCGCCATTCCTGGTAGATCTTCTGTTATCACAGTGTAAGATACCTACTCACAAAAGTGATAGAAAGAAAAAGAAAAAGACTGTAAATGATTTCGGATAGATATATATAAGAAATATTCTAAAATTCCCAGCCAGCACCCCTCGTTCGTGCGCATGTATAGTCGCACCAGCATAATAAATTCAGTTCGATGAAGTCCCGAAGGATGAAACGCGTCACAAGTAAACTTTTTCTACTTTGTCATACATTTTCCTCAATATTGTTCTTAATATATAAAAATATATATCGTTATCTCATATATATGAATAAAGACTGTTTGTATGTGCAAACATTTTAGATAGAGTATATCTGTAAAAGGACTATATGAATAAAGACAAAAGGAAAATTTATCTTAGACGGCACGTTTCTCCCTTGGAGACACCTTATTTTTTGCCTTGATAAAAATTTTCCTTTTGTCTTTATTAATATTGTTCTTTTACAGATATACTCTATCTGAAATTTGTACATCTGAGGAAGAAATATATCCATTCCTATATATATATATATATATATATATATATATAGGAATGGGTATATTTCTTCCTCAGGTGTTATAAATACAGTGCTCAATGTTATGAAACAGAGCTATAAGTGTATATTTGTAAATATAGATAATATCCAACATCAATAGCACGATTCGGAGTTCCATGTAATCTTCAGAATTAAAAAAATAAAAAAAGTAATTCTTCGCCTTTCGGACTTATGAATTTGAATGATATAAATTATTAATAATTCTAATATTTTACGCAACAATAAATAAATAAACAAATTTTAACACAATTTTGAATCATCACCGCGAGAACGTGAACTACTTAGCGGTCAGAAAATCTCTGCGCCTGATGATTGCATAAATTGCATGAAACTCCGTGTCGTGCTATCGACGTTGGATATTATGTATATCATCCACAGCCAACTGTTTCGCTGTATCACAGCTCATCAGTGTGACCAGATAGCCAAATGCCTCAAGCCAGGCTCGAAACACAACTGATTTGGCATCAATCGGAGATCTTTCTCCTAAGTTATAGGCTCTTGGCAAAGAGGAAGGTGAATTTTTTACGTATTTATTATGAATAAACACGCCAGTGACTCAGTGCTCGATTCATAGAAGAGCATTGCATTATCAGTAGTAGCAGTCACTGTTTACAAATTTGCGCTTTATACTTCTTACTATAATTGTGCTTCGCACGACAGTTACGCCCTGCTAATAACTTCTATTTCGTTTTGATCGTGTGGAAAGTGGGGAAAAGACACTACTTGGTTTCAGTGAGAAAATGAAAGAAAGGAAGCAAGAAGAGAGAGAATGAGATTAAGCTGATTAGAATAGACACTACACAATATTCTTCACTTACACACTTCTCCACTCACACAAGCTCTATTACTCACCCTCTCTCGTTAACTCTCACACACAAACACACGCAGATTCACGAAAAACAGCTTCCATTAATAGATTGTTGAGAAGGCGACATGATCTAAAGAGGCCGCTCCCCTCCCATTTTCCAGGGCGCAAAAAAAAAAAAAGCAACAAAAAAAAAAAAAAAAAAACCAGTGAGAAACGAAAAAACGAAAAGCAAATGTTTTATCTTCACTGTAATTCGTTCTCATCCGCTTAACGTGAAGAAAAGAAGAAAAGCAAACGATCTCCGACGAAGTGTTTCGAATATTTACAAAACACATTGGAGACGAGAGAAAATCCCATGGGTAGGGAAACCAGGTATGAAATTTATCTCTCGTCATTTGCAAACAATGTTACACGAGTCCACGCATTTGTCATATCGAGCTCTATCGTTTGATCAGGCGCCTGCAGTTTGTGAGGTCTGGGATTTCATCCTCCAAGGTCAAATCGCTGAGATATGCCTGTACGTCTGGTTCGAAATACTTTACTAGTTTTATTACTCTTTTTTTTCCTTTTTTTTTTTTTTTTAGCGAAAAAAAATATCAAAACAGGTTTCAGGGTCCCAAAAGGGAATCTTCGTCAATGCAATCCGACGACTTCTCATAAAATCCTAATCGTTTCAAAATGAGATAATGATTTGTGATTAGCACAAAACAAAAAATCAATGAGTCTCCTTGCTTCGAACGTCTACTGAGACCCAAGATCATGCCAGATCTCAAGCGGAACCCATCGCTAAAGATTCCGAAAGAATGGTCGGTTCCTTGTAACTCTCCAGGATGTACCTTACTACTCCTGCCATGAATCAGATACGATCAAAAATATTGTTTTGCTGCCAAGCAATAAAATGCTTAAAAGCCACTCAGGGCAGTGGTTCATTGAATAAAGTTGTTTTATGAATATAAGAGCAGCGACTAAGTGGTAATTATGATGATATGTAGGTAGGTAACGGTTGCTACTAGACTTCTAGTCATTGGGGAAGCAACCTCTCGGGAGTCTTTTTCACAAAGTAACGGTTCTCAGGAAGAAGCTTTTCAATGAAATACAAAGAAAATGAGGATGATTCAACCCTGTGTAGATGGCATGGAGGGTCTAATGTGTAATGGTCTGAACAGGTGGAATAGAGGAATGTCGCTCTTATGAACCTGAACATTTAGTCAGGGTCGAATTCAGTGGTTAGTATTTACCTAACTTAACTCTGTTTAGTACAAACACTCTTTCCCGGTCTTATGAACAGGAGTAGAGGTTTATCTCTTGTTTGTAGTTTAGGATCGTGTTTTCGGTTCATTCTCTTTCCCTCCAAGTAGCATCTGGCGTATTACTGACATTGTCGCCTTGTTTGGGGGGAAATGATCTTTAAAAAGTAGAAAAACGTTCACTGGTGTAAGAAATCCGATGAAAATCGAACTTCCTACAGTTGTAAATATTAGTGTGGCTAGCTCTGTAACAACTACTGTTCCACAGTGTAAAGTTTAAAATTTAGAGTAGTCTGGCACAAGGCCATATTAGTTGGGCTCTTAATCCGGATTGAATAGCTCTATTACAGTACCGGGTTGCCAATTTAGATTGCAAATAAGCGATTGTTAGGTTAGGTTGGTTAAATTAACGATATATAAACTTTTATTGGGTTGCTCAATACAAACTGTTTCAGGTGAATCAATAAATTTTATTGAACCTTTTACATACCTAGGAACTGAGATAAATTCTACTGAAAGAATGCAGAAATTCGAATAGCTAAAGCCTGGACTGCATTGAATAAAATAGATGTAATCTGGAAATCAGATCTACCAGAGAACCTCACGTGGAGATTTCTTCGAGCCACTGTAGAGGCGGTGTTAATGTATGTCGCCATTGCTTGGACATTGACTAAAACCCTAGAATCTAAGTGTTGTAACATACCTACGGACGATAATTGGTATGTCCCCATTCACATAAATACAGTAGTGAATACTGTATGTTGGTCTGCAGTTGGAGATTCGTCTATTCAAACTCTTTGCCCGGAGGCAGGGAGTATCCCCAGATGATGCTATGTGGAAGGGCAGAGTCTCGTCTCGGGAATCAGCTACCAGATCCCGTTTTATACTGGGTGTACGGGGGAATTTCTGGCCGAGCCTACGGGCTCCGATACCCCACATTAAATTCGGCCTTGTGCCACATCTGATCGCATAGGGCGGTTGATAGATATCCTGCATTTGGAGATTCATTGTAGAATTCACTTGATTCAATTCTAGCAATTGACTACTTCTTCTACGCGCCGCTGCCGAATCTTATGTGTGTTGTTCGTGTCCTAAGTATTATCGTTCATTACCAACCTTCGTGTGATTATTCTACTCAGTAACCTTCCCTAGGTTACAACGCTAAGCTCGACGGAGCCTACACATGGAGACAACTTCCAACTAAATCACAGCTCTGTGGAGCCATCCCTGATATTTCTACAATCTTACGTGAACGTCGAATGGGCTTTGCAGAACACTGATAGCGAGTAATCTACTGTTATGTAATTCGGGCTGATCGCCTAACAACCACCTACATTGACTAGCTATGACACAGAGTGCCACCCTAATGGCTTTCCGACCTTGATGTAGGAACGTGATGGTTGACGTAATAGACTCATGAATATCCGAGCTAGCTTGACCGAATAAAAAAATAAATATTGTTGAATATAAGACATCGTAGAAAAATCACGATGAATTAATAGACAGGTAGATATAGGTCCGGTTTATAACTAAAATCAAGAAAGTAGAGGCGCTCGAACACTAAAATATGGCATCAGAACTATGCATCTTGCGTAACAACAAAGCCTGCTTACTTAAAAAATATTTTTGGCGATTTTCATCACGATCATCACAAACCAATCGCCAGTGATGGAACTCTTCTGGGAATATATACCAGAATCGGTTTACATAATGCTGACGCCAAAGTCTTCTCTGTGTCTTTTCTATAAATACTTTCATGATAAATGTTCTGGTGAACTTTTCTATATTTTATTCCCCAACCACACAGATAAATTGTATATATGGGAACTAGTTAGGACTTCATAGAGACTTAGAGATATTATGGTGACTGTAGTAAGAATGGTAAGTAAGAATGTGTTGTTTTAATGAATACTGTAGTATGTTTGGGCCGGTAATTGTTGCTATCTAAGTTTAAGGTAAGACAGATTGAAGACAAGCCTTCCCCTATCACCCCTTTTGACCTTGTACCATATTTTTGTATTTTTAAAACAAATATTACTTTCCTGTATTGTACGTAGACTTTATGAATTCAAGCGCACTACTAGGTTGGCGACAAGATCCCATCATTTTACAGTGGAAATAGCTAGATGCAACCGTAAGTTCTATGCTGACAGTTTCTTTCCTCGTATTTCTCGCTTGTGGAACTATCTCCCGGTTTCTTACTTCCCAGTCAAATTTAATTTGGTTTGATTTATTTTGTTTTATCTTATATCAATACCTCAAGGGGTTATTTAAAGCCGACAACATTTTTAGGATAGGTTCGTATGAATAGAATATGTATTCTTTGTAAGAAATCAGTTTTTAGATCAGGTTTCATTGACGTATTGTTTTTAAAGAGTTTTTTTTTAGAGAGTCAAAATGTATTGCTGATAATATTTTTTAATATGTATTACCGGTATTTTTATTATAAAAATCAATTTTTATACTTTCATAGTGTTTTGACCCCAGTTTGGAAGTTAACTATTTTCATATAGCTTTAGTACTAACAGATGCTACCACTCCGCGTCAGGTTGGACCTGGGAATAATAGCAATTAATAAGTTGCTGTACGCTCCTTAAAACCTCCTGATTAGAGACCTTGCTGCCGGATGTAGTTTATCGTCATAAACATGACGATGTCAACTTTGATCTTCAAAAATTTAAATGCAATGACAATCGTTATTTCCTTTCGTTTTAATACATGTTCTTTTATTGTTTTCTATCCTTAAAATGTTTTCCTTATATTCTTTCACATTCAGTAACATCCCTGCATGTTAGTGGCTTTGTTGTCTTGCTTGGAGTGAAATGATTTTAAAAGAAAATTTGTTAAACTGAGCTAAATTTGGAATATAGTCACATAAAAATAGAGCTTTGTAAGAAGCATCTTCAGTCATAAATACTTGACTATCAGGCACAGAATTACACTACTGTAACTCCTGCAGCAAGAAGATTTACTAGAAAGCCAGCCATAGAGAAATGTCTAGTATGTTTGCCTTGCAAATCATCGCCAGTGAATTCCATTCCCACTGGTATGCCAACGAATCTTGTCATGTGACACAGTTGGCCCCCATTCCATAAATGTCTAACGTGAGAATGTTAGAGTATCTGCTGTACAGCTTTCATCGGCATTTTCTCCCCACGGATGAGGAGAAAACTGGAGGCTACAAAAATATGGTTATACAGAAGGATGCTGAGAATTCCATGAAAAGAGCAGAGTAAGCAACCAGGAAGTCTTAAAGGAAACGGCAATAAAAAGAACACTTATACTAAGAATCGGGAAGCGACAGGTAAAATTACATAATGAGGAAAAGAGAATAAGAAAAATTAACCCTTACAGGGCGTATTGGTGGAAAGGTAGATAGGAGAAAGCTGTGTGAATGGATGGTAATATGGGGGAAAGCCTTAGGAAGCGGGGGAAACTGATATAGTCCACAAGGTATAAGAAGTTTTGAAGAGCTATAATCGCCCATGTCCTGAAAGGATGTGACACATAGAAGAAGCAAGTGGCAGTGCTCGATATTGGTGGCCCTGTGCCAGTGCTAGTGTCGTCCCTTCAATTTCTGAAGCTAGTTATTTTAGAGCTTAATTTAGAGCAGGAGTTCCCAAAATGGTCGATATGGACTCCTGGGATACATCGGAACTATCCAGGAGCCTCGCGTGGGGAAGGAGGTTCAAAAGGGGTTCGATAAATAAATCATGATCTCTTATATATAGAGAATGATAATAATTTCTAGGTGCCAGGTTACAAGTAGATTTGGATATAGTAACAAGATCAGAGGAAGGGTTTTGATGACATCACCACTGGCGGGGTCAACCGGAATTGTAACTCCAATAGAGAATCAAATCAGAACGATGGATAGTATTAAAATTAACCCTTCCCAATTCTACGGTGTTCTAGCGAATTACAATCGGTTTCTGAGTTAGGTGTCAGCTTTATTCCCAAAATATCGCAATAACAGCAGCAATTCCCCCAGATTGGTGACTGGTAGTCGGTTCAGCAATTCAAATATTGTTTTCTGGCCTGCAGACAATGTTGGCCGCCACAATCTGGACTTCAACTCTTTCATTCGATCGTTAGTCTGCAAGCGAAAACTTCTGAACTTTCTTCAGCTTGATCAAATTCTTCTCGGCAGTATCTTGCAAGGGGTGGTGTAGGAGGTGGCGATTTTAACTCCGCGACATTACGTCCCGTCTGCTTGCGTCCCTGTTGGTGTCTGACTCGGTGACGTCTACCTGCCATATCACGTTGAAACATCAGTTCCCATACAATCACCAAAGTTAAGCAACGTCGATCCTGGTTAGTACCTAAATGGGTGACCGCTTGAGAATACTAGATGCTGTAAGCTTGGATGTGCGAGTGTTAATTGGAGAGTCGAGTTCCAATTCCCGTTAGGCTCGTTATATTGACTTATGTGCAAATACCCATGGGAAAGGTATGAATCCAACTCTTCTCCCCCACAAATAGGGTTAATTAGTAATACTTATATCACTAAACTATTATCTCCAAATAAAAAATTATTAAAATTTAAAACTATTTTCTGACTTTAAATAACCTGATGGGTGGGGTTGAGGCCTTGGTCGCGTCTAGATTCATTCGGTCCTACTTGTTAAAACTGTGTTAAGTTAAGAGTTCAAAGCCAAACAATTTCAGGTGCTAATTCAATTTTATATAATTAAATGCTTTTCGTTTCTGCATCAGTCCACTAGGAAAAAACAAAAAAAAACAACCCCAGAATATGTGATTGCTTGGCAATCAACCCGTATTGCTATGGCTAGGTGTCCATAGCAGTTGATCACTCATCAGCAGTTTCCTGCAAAATGTAAGATTGTAGAAATATCAGGGATGAGTCCATAAAGTGATTTAGTTGGGTGTTGTCTCTAAGAGATGTTAAGTATAACTCCCAGCGTCCGCGTGTAGGTTCCGTCTAGGGTTTTAGTTAATGTTCCAGCAATGGCACGAAAGAATTTCCACTTCTACAGTGGCACGAAAGAATCTTCGTTTGAGGTTGTCTGGTAGATCTGATTTCCAGATTAAATCCATTTTATTCAAGGCGGTCCAGGGAATTTTACCTATGGGAATTTTCACAACCTTTTTCAGTAGAAAATCAATTACCTACTTTGGCTATATAAAGTTTTTTACATGAATATCTAAAGTTAATTCCTATTCCAACCAGCACCAGATATAAATTCACTTACTTGTAAAATCCTCGCCAGCAACTCTGCTACAAGTTGACATAAGGCCAAACGGAGAACAGGAATAGGGCAAGAGAGATTGCTTTATGCCAAGCCTCTAAGGTGTTGGAAGCATTTCTGTTTGGAAAATTGGTATTCGAAATCATAGCTTTTAATCTGGGATCGAACACAATTCCCTGGTACCGGAGAGGAACAAGAAGTTAATGCAGCCACGACGCAAGTGGCAGGTATTTAGAAAGCTTTGTTAACATAAAGTTACAATTTTAGAGCTGCAAGTGAAGAGTGAAACCATGACCAGGGCCTGTTCAAAGTACTGGCAACTCAGGCAGTCGCCCCGAGCGCCATTAAAGACGAGGGCGCCATCATATCGCCATATCATGTGTTTGGGATCAAACTTGCGGTCGTCTCTGACTCTCTAGGCAGATTAAATTTTTTGTTTATTTTGTCAATAGAAAAAAAATCTTGTAAAGAAGATAGACTATAGAAAGTTCCATGAAAGTGCCATGAAAATATTTGCAGATCTAAAGGCTAGAAAAATGTTTAAGTAGGATAATGGATGTTTTCTTTAGCTTGTATTATGTTGTACAGTGTAACCCAGATATAAGAGAAACCCGGATATAAGAGAGATTTTCTCTGGTCTCAAATTAGAGTCCATACTTACCTAAACAAAATAGACCAAACCCGGATATAAGAGAAACCCGGATATAAGAGAAACCCGGATATAAGAGACTTCTTCTCCGGTCCCGACAACTCTCTTATATCCGGGTTACACTGTATATTGTAATAAACTCGTTATTCTATAATCTACATTTTCAGTTTTTCTCCTTGTGAAAATTAAAATATAATATACTTGTAACAGCGCCGAAGTTCAGCTTGCCCAGGACGCCAGCAACCCTTGGACCGACCCTGACCATGACAGTATGTTTGCGTGAGAAGCGTGGTAGAAGCATTCTTTGAAAAGCGGGTTTGAAAAAATATCAGCATTCGTGATAGAACCTGCGACATCTTGGTCACCGATTTGCTACTGTGCCCAAGTCTCAGACGTTTTTCTTTCTTCCTGGCAGACGAAGAAGTAGATGCAGAGCTGAGGTTATTCATGAATAGACAAATATCGATTTATTTGCAGTCTGGAAATTGCAACCCGGCAAGATGCTGCTGCTGCTACTGGACAGTTCCCGGGAAATCTTGCCTCGTTTTGAAATTGCAACGAACGAACAGATAATACCTCATCCTTCTACTCTATTATACTTTTATTATGCTGCTTTAGCTTTCTTTTTCATTCTTTCGCCTCCACCTCCCTTTCTTCATCATTTTAATCTTTTCTTTCTTTCATATCTTTGCTTCTGATAGCCACTCCACCTTCTCCTTTTTTCCTCCCACATCCATATCCCTCCTACTCTGACTCTTTTCTTTAACCAATCGGATGAATGGTATCCGCCTGGTGTGGTTAGATACGTGCTCGGAGTATTCCGTAAAGTGATTTTTGTTTGATCGAGATACACCATTTTTTTTCTCATTTTCTTTCTCACAATTCTTAGTAGCTAATTAAAGATAAATTCCAAGTTCCATTTGAATTGCTGGGTTGATGAAGCTTGTTAACTCAAGGAAATGAGACTTACTAATTCATACCATCACTGAAAAAAAAAAAAAAATGAAAAAAAGAAAAACTCGTATCAACTACTATCACCGCTCACGTGCACATGTGTCGAAAACAACACTCTTTACATTCGGAGATTCCGTTTCTCGTGCCAGGTTGGTGAGTCTCGTTTCCAGAAACTCGGAAATATCTGTTTTTAAGCACAAGTAAAAAAAAAAAAAATAACCTAGTTACGAATGAGACAATTTTTACAATATTCTCATTTCGCCTAAAGGTTTATTTCTGTTGGGTCAGTTGAATGAACAGAGATATGTCCGATGATCTTTTTCCATATGCCAAGCTGGTAACCTTCGTTATCACACTGTCAGCTTCGGAAAGGAAAAGACAACGGTGAATCCAGATATAAGTCATCCGTACGCACCAAAAAAAAAAAAAAAGAAGTTTTCAACCGTTTCTAACGCGATGTACGTCTAATAGCCGTCCAGTGGTAGGACGGCATATTGAAGATCGATATGTCTCATGTTACCGGTTTGATGATATTCATTATCAGGCACTGAGTCAAATAGGTCAAGTTTCTGACAGGATGAGAAATTTTACCTTTTTTGAAGTCAATCTTGTGCTTATAGAATATACTACATTTAAATCATATAAACGCTAAGCTGGCCGACAGAGAGCTAGCTAGATATGAACAGAATTATAGATAGATAATTATGAAGATAGATAGATCAGTCTGTTATGTGCCATGCGGGATACACGCTTAGGCGATCATGTATCTTTCGATACTTGACTGACAAGGCATATTTTTTTCCTGCAGTAGGTTGCCATTTCTTTCTGCGGTAGACCAGTTGCCATCCAAGGCTATAGAACCCAGTCTGTTCTGCTATTTACCCATAGCTGTGTGGAGAAGAAGTGGATTCATACCTTCCCCAAAGGTATTAGCACGCAAGTGAATGTAATTGATTCGACTGGAATTCGAACTCTGCTCTCCGGTAGAAAGATAGATAGACTACTATAATATTATGACGAAAGAAAATGTTACTTGTTATCCCTCTAACATCAAATGAATGTATAATCCATCTCAGATTATTCATATCTATGTCTCTATTTATTTAAGTCTAATATCTATCTATCTATCTATTTATTTATGTTAACATCTATTTAAGTCTATTAATATCTAAGTCTGCTAATATGTTTGTCTGTTAATATCTGCCTATTTAAGTCTGTTAATATTTATCTAAGTATGTTAATCTATCTATCTATCTATCTATCTAAGCCTGTTAATATCTGTCTATTTAAGCTTGTTAATATCTGTTTTTAAGCTTGTTAATATCTATGTTAATATCTATCTAAGTCTGTTAATATCTATTTAAGTTTGTTAATATCTATCTATCTATTCAAGTTTGTTAATATCTATCTATCTATTTAAGTTTGTTAATATCTTTCTATCTATCTATTTAAGTTTGTTAATATCTATCTATATAGGAAATCCCCCAAATCCATAAACTTTACGAAACTGAAGCTGACAGTGGCGGAAAAAAACATTTGTGAGCGTGCGTAAAGTTTATTATTTTCTTCTATTACACGTTTGCTGCGTATTTGTACTTTTTACATTGAACTCTGACCTTTTGCGGTGTTGGCAACTTTTACTCGCCTTTTAGGGTTGTATTTAATTTCATTCAACCCCTCTCTCCGCGCACGCACACAGAGACACACATGCACAACCATGGACGCACACACACATGAGTGTAAAAAGACAAGTATTTTATGTATTTTTTTGTTTGCTTTTCTACATATATTTTGATAAGTTAAGAAATGGATTTCCTTTTTTGAGTGAAAGCGCTATTCTATAGGGAATCAAAAGTATTTGAATATTAGACATATTGTCGTCTGATATAATACTATTGAACACATTCATTCTCTTAGTGATTTTTAGCAAGCCTGACATTGCCGATGAGTTTTGTAATTCCTCGTTTGTTTAATGAGCGTAGCCGCCTGCCAGAGTTGGCTTTACCCCCCCCCCTAGCCATATACAGAAGAAAAATTATCGGGAAAAAAAAGAAACAAAAAAGATAAAGAATTATTCAGTCGAAATACGCAATTGTAAAAGTATCCGAAAATGAGTAACTATAAAAACGTTTTTTTTTTTTTTTTTTTTTTGCGGGGTGGGGAAGTTGTCTGCTTTTGAAAAATGGAAAGTACAAAAGTGGCATGTCGCCGGTAAACGGTGAAATTTCCCTGCTACTATCGGATTGCTTCCACTTGCTTCCAACTGTTATGTCCTTTTGAATACAATAATTTTTCAACAGCCTGATTTAAATTTCAAATGTACAGTTTAACCATTTTTTTTTCCTTTTTTGCTTTGGTTATTTTATTTAATAAAATCTAGCAAACCAACAAAGTCAAAACCAAACTTGTCCGCAATTTTTACCGGACTCACAGTCCTGCAGGGAGACAACGACTTGAATAAAACAGTTGACTAAATGGAATTGTTAAACACTTGTAGACTGATGATAATTACGGTGGCGAAGAATGAATTCAAAGAAAACCTGAGAAT